AGAGTATCTGTTAAGTACACGCATCAAGAGCAACTAGTACATTGATCAACTAGTACACAATTATGATTTCACTTACAGATCATGACAAATAATGATCAGTCACTCAATTGATGTGCTCATTCTCCTGGCCAAAGCTCCCTTGATTCTGAGCGCTCATTCTTTCCCTCCTTCAATATTCTGGAACTTATAATCCGTGCCTCTTTCACTGATTAATCCCCAGAATATTCAGACACCAGTTAAACCAGTTAACATTTATATTGATACCGCACACGTAACCAACATAAATCTTGTCTACCTTTATTGTTCTTAAGCTTCAGTACTCTTACTCAACTTATCCACAGTATTCATAGCCTTGCTGAATATTCCCATTAACAATACCTGTTAATCTTCAACTAATTTTGTTAAAGCTTAATAAGTATTGTTAGCCCATTCCCTTTTGGGAATAACCAAATCAATCCCAGGTGAGTCTTAGTACCCTGGATGCCTATTGATACCTTGTATTGATCCGGATGTGCTGTTGATAGCAAGCCTCTCAGTAAAGACCATACTGATAGAGTGAAACCTCCTCATTACAGGACTGGTATTAATCACCCACTACCTAACACTCACCACGCTCAAAAAACTTCAGTCAACTCATAGTAACAACCTTTTTACTATTAAATACTCAGGTTAGTTACCCAGAGGCTGACAGAGGGTATAAAGATGTTATTGACTGTTGGTTATATTGATGAAGTCGTTGTTGATGAATATGGTTCAGGGCACTTTTGGTTCATGATGATGATGATGATGAAAGTCTTAAATCTGTATTTCAATGTGTATAAATCTGTAATTGTTATGTAGCTATGACTTGTAGTTATAAAATAATATATAAGATGGATTTATTTATCAGGGTGGTTGAGATGATCTGGTCCACTGGTGGGATGATGGAGGGAACAACTGGAAGGCAGAGGCCTCCTTATATAGAAAAATGTGAGGGATTTTGGCCCCAGGGTACAGGCTGTGAGATACTACTACAAAGGGATGCATATGGATGAATAAAGGGACGCATATGTATGATCAAAGGGATGCATACATGCAATATCACTAATACAAAGGGATTCAAAATAACATAAAGGTATTCCATTTACTACAAAGGAATTCAGTATGCAATATGCATCCTGTATTCATAATGACTATGGTCAGACTGAAGAATCCAATGAAATATCCCATGACAGGTTGAAATCTGTGTAACTTCTAAACTATAAGAGATAAAGGTATGGTTGTAGTGGATGACTAGGGGTTATTTTACCTGAGGATTCCATTTTTGATTCTATTCTTACCATATCTTGAATGAATAAAGATATAATAAGAAATTTTTATATTTTCTGCGTAGAAACACAGTATTATTTGCCACACTGGACATCAGATTTGGGGATTTCAACCTGGCCCGGCCTGTCCGGTAACAAAACCGGTTAAGCCGGGCTGGCCCACGGTCAGCCCGTGTCCGCCCGATTACCATCCTTAAACACTATGCAAATTTGGCGCGCAAAAAGGACCGCTACACTAACACTTTTTGGGCAAAAAGTGTAGTGGCCCAGTGCTGTATCCACCCACCATGGTCTGCCCATTGGTTTCAATTCCCTTTACCAACCACCTCCCTGACTCTACTTACCATTTACATCCAACATACTATTTACTCAATCTGGCTAATCTCTCCAACTCTTCTCATTAAATTTGCCCTGTTGGGATAGTGTCCTAGTATCCCTATAGTGTGGTATGCTTCTACTCTTTACAACCACAACTCAGCATGTATTCTGTATCTATATAGTCTAGTTGTTCTCTTGTTTGTTCTCCTTTCTTACTGAATGATTATTACAACTTGACTCTACGTGCTCGGACCATGTCCTTGACCTTGTGTCAACTCTCTTAGCTCTTGTGTCACCCCAGTTACCCTCAACATGCCCTATTTTCTCAACAATACCATCATAAATACCCATAAAAAGTCCTACAAGATCTACAAAAAAGGCCACCTTCATTATCCTACAACCTTACATCCCATGCTTCACTTTCCTCTACCTGAAATCATTTTTCCCAATTTCAAACTATTGATAAACTATTTTCCACAACTTCCCCTTCCAACACCATTCAGTGCTCATTTGATAACTAAATCTTACACATGACAGCTCCCATTATCTTATTCCCCCCCACTATCCATCAACTCAGATCACAAATACATTTCATGATTTCATGAGTTTGAACAGTGCTTGTTGTCAACATAAAGTTATTCACAAGGTGATTACATGTACAAGTTTCAAACACTCAAAGGACTAAGCATACATGAGAGACAGGCAAGAATTTCGGATGATGGCTGAGAAAAGTGAGATTATCAATGAGAGTGGATGTTAAAAATAAGCCATGAGCCCAAGGAGAAATTTTACTCAGCCTATTCAGCCTTCTCTCTAGCTTTCCTTGTTCCACACCAGTGAAGGACAGCAAGATGACCTTACAGAGACTCTGATTGTAAATTCACATCTTTAACATTTGTTCCCTCTTGGAATAATTGGAGAGGATAATCATTTAAGAGGCCAAGGTGACTTCATGGTTTGATGATGAATTAAGTTAATTGCAATTTTAAGTTGTTATACATTGAAGATGAATTGATCAGTAAATGATTATTTATGGGAAAGATATAGTTTTCAAATAGCAATGTAGAATCTTCAAAGGAGATCAAGAGCAACGCTGGGCCAGCTACGCTAACCGTAGCGGTTAGCGCAGCGTAACATAGTGGAATTCTACGCAACTTTAGCATAGCGTAGCAGAATTCCGCCACGTCCACGCTAACGCTACGTGTGCAGGCCCTTAAAAGGGTCTGCTAATCTGCGCTAACACGCTGGTTAGCGGTGTTTTGGCTGTGTAGCGGCTGTTAGCGGCCCGTAGCGCAGCGTAGCGTAGCAAAAAGTTGCTAACTTTTTGCTAACACTACACAAATCCGGCGCGCAAAAAGGACCGCTACGCTAACACTTTTTGGGCAAAAAGCATAGCGTAGCGTAGTGGCCCAGTGCTGTCAAGAGGTAAAATTACAGAAAAACAATGAAGAATCACAATAGCATCTCTCTTTGAAAATGTGCTGATCAAAATCCTGGTTGTATCACAGCTAATACATATACAGTCAACTCTGTATTAACCCATACCCCTTGGTGGACACAAAACACTATGGGTTAATATAGAGTATGGGTGGAGGAAGAGGCTCTCTATTAAACCATGATTCATGGGTTTAGAGGATTCCCTTCATTAACCCATGTTTTTATGGGTTAACAAAGAGGTGAGGGAAGACCTGGAATTTCTCTCCATCAAATGATGATTTCATGGGTTTAATGGAGATAAAAAAAACTTTGTGGTTTTCAATCAAGTTCCCCTCATTATCCATCCACTCTTTGTTGGATTCAGTGGAGGACTTCCCATCAGATCTGGGACCCTTGCAGAAGTCAATCTAGACCCAAAAAATCTTGATTCTTGCAGAGAAATTTGTATTTCAAGGCTCTAAACCAACTCTGGGAGACCCCCAGATGTTGACAGGAAGTCCTCCAGTAAGCTCATTCTGCATTTGTTTTTCCACCAGTTCCTTGTTTTTCTTTTTTGACTTAGTTCTGCAAAGCTTGATATTTTTTGCAAGTATATCAATGTGAATGTTATCAATTGAGCTGGAATAAGCAAGATCCTCTGGTTTATCTGAGTTGGATTGGATGAAAGACAGTATATCACCCTGTTGGAGGAGGTATTTTGGGATGGGTGGCTCTTCCATGATAGACTGGTTGGAAGGATTTAGTTTTTGGAAGCAAGAAACATCTGAACCACCCCTCAGTAAGGTTAGAGAAAAACCCATGATTTTTTGGATTTTTCTCTCCATATGGTATGGGTTACTGGGAATTAGAGAGTTATGGGTTTGATAGCCTTTTTTGGCTGTCCACCAACTTGGTGGACACATTTTGCCATGGGTTACAGGAGAGTATGGGTTAATACAGGTATGGGTTAGAGCAGAGTTGACTGTATAGACAAGAGACTTCTCCTCTTCATTCCTTCAGTGTTCCAATTTTTACAAAGAAGATGATTGTAAACATATTGGGATTTTTAAAAGATGTATATTGAGATTCATAAACAATGAATCAGATAATAGGGAAAACATTTTGAATTAAAAATTGACATCAATATGCTTCTATATAAGGAGATTTAGATGTTTTTTCTTCACAAGAAAGATGGTGAATATAGCCAATCATTTGGATGAAAAAAAAATATTTTTCCCTTTTTTCAAGTTTTTCCACAATGTTGTGCCACATTCTGCAATGATCTTTATTTGAGATCATCATGTTCTCTTGAAGTGTTTATCCAGATTTGGAATGTATTTGGTCATCAGTCAAATTCATAAATTCAATGCTAGACTAAATATTCAAGATGATTAATCCTAAAATTTGACCCACTGTTTTCAATAATCAAATTCATTCACAACCTCCGATTTTTCTCGGAGAGTCGTGATTGGCGATGAAAACGCAACGATAACTGCCACCTTGAATATCAACAAACGTCACGAATCAATGTCGGGACACTGTCGTTACTTTTCACGATAAGAAGAAGGAAAAAAATACCAGGCCAAAAGGTATTCCAATAGTAAAGATCCAAGTCACGCTGGCCACGGTAATTACAAACGAAGTCAGGTAAGAAAACGGGTGTCGCGTCGGAATCTGAAGAAAATTAGTGACTATCAGGTGATTAACCATTAGTATCATCGATGTCTACATCCGCAATTGGGTTGGGAGGGGGGGGGGGGTCAAGCTTACAGATTATGAAATCCAGTGCCGCAAGAACAATCATGACTGTTGAATTGCAAATCACCTGCCCAAACTAAATTCACTTGGTAGATTTTGAGGGCTTTGCATTGAGATTGAATAATCAGTTGGTTATTTATTTCCCAAGGCTGTTGGTTGTTCAAGCGTGAATTGTTAGAGCTCATGCTCGAGCAGGATTGTTCAAGGAAATCTGGATCGTGACGCAATGACGGTAGCCAGCTTGAAATATTCATGTCGACTAGAAGCGATGACCGGCGTTGTTTTTCTTTCATGGAATCGCCAGAGTACTTGTGAAAGGCAGCTGAAACCGGCGTCCGTTGAATCTCTGGCATAATTTCTGATGATTGAATATTTAATGTGAGTGGAATATGTTGTTGTAGCGCTTGACGAAATGTGCGAATCTGATATCGAACAGCCTGGAGTATGCGCAAGTAGCCAAATAGCATCATAGAAAACAGTACAAAAATGTTCAAACAGTACCCGATACTGATCAACCGAGAGAGGAATAGAACTTGTTTGCCGCGCTTTTGCATAGAGGCGATTTTTCTGAAGGCCTCGACGTTCAGTTGCAGTATTGTTGCGGATTCAAGGTTTCCTTTAATGATAGTCAAGAACGCATCGTTATATTCCTTGTATACCTGCGTGATTTCCGATGTGTAGAGAGTTATGAAATATATTGGAGGGCCTGCAAAGACGAATGGAAAGGCATAAAGGAAAATCGAAAGAAGATTGATGGTCCTAGGCTTGAAATATGTCATGGTCGAGTCGGCATTTGCCTGTCTCGTTGTATTTATAAGTCCGTATTTAGTTAGAGGAACCGCTCCTAGGACATTCCAGACTGTATCAGTGGGTTTCAATTCGGTGACAGAAGAAATCAAAAAACGTTGGGTTAGTGGGATAATCTTTGTCACAAGTGGTAGATTGACAGTACTTGCCTCTCGTCCAACCTGCCCGACATTACGAAGATGGAATAGTAAGATGATTTGAGCCATGATGTAGAGCTATTGAATGCAGCCATAAGCATGCCTCAGGTAAGGACAAGTATCAAGTCTCACCTGTGCAGAGCATGAACGGGTAAGTGCACAAGCTCAATGTGATTGTGACGGTTGACAAGTATGACTTGTTCACGTCTTTTTGGAAAGAATAAATGGTAGCCATACTGACTTTTTTGATACAAAGATAAAATGTTTCAGTCCTCCATATCTCGAGCTTGACTCGAAATGCCAAAAACTTACGGACAATGTAAACAAGCACGAACATCGGGATTATGGTGCGAGTGTTGGGGCGGACCATGCCATTCTTCTCGATTTTTAAAAACCAGAAACCTTCTTTCCGAATTGCTGGAATTGAACTCAAGACGTATAGAATTCCAGCGGCAGGTTCAAGAAAAGATACCGACCACAAAATTGGTGGTACGGGTTTGGGAGGATCGAGTTTGATCGCTTGCGTAAGTAACTGGTTTATCACTATGGACTGGAGCGTGTAGTTGGCCGGTGGAGTGGTCATGTTCGGTATTCTTGCGAACCTTTCTTTCGTTTCACAATTTTTTTGCTTCGAGTGGCCCCAGTACCCCAGGAACAAGCAGGTTTTTGTGTTAGGTCCGATTCCCGGGATTGTCATCATACGATTGCTAAAAAAACAACTGGTAGCGGACACTTGAATTCACTTGACTGAATCAAAAATGTCCCATGTTGAACAGACGCGATTTCTTTATTCTAACAGCTCAGCTGCGTGTAAGTTTATCGCGCGCTGTTTCCCAGATGGAGTGGAGAAACAGACTATCTACTCCTTGCTGTGAAGTTAAATGTTCAGATAGTAGCTGACAGGTCTGAAGTCGGCCATGGAGTAACAACAGCTGAACACTCGGGGACAAGAGGTCAGAAATTTCACCAAGTGGGTGTTGAGATGCGCGGACCGCGATCAACTTCGCCTCCTCACTGAATTCTTTCCTCTACACGCTTTCCGGGATAGAGCGCAAAGCCGACATGCCATCAGACTTTACATGGTAGCGGCTTGCCTGGCTTGCACGGGAAGCGAGAAGGACTTGTGACGTACATGTATACCATGTCATTTTGGTTCACTGGAATATATTAGGTAATTTTCTTTCTTCAAAAAACTAAGCTCACATGAGGCAAAGCTCCTTGTTGGTTTGGCTTGTTTGAGGAATGGCTCCCAATTGACATTGCCTTAATTATGTATGCAGGTCATGTGCGCGGCGTACCAGGGCATGGTCTTCTTACACACACCCGTGTGTTCGGATGGCAAATTCCCAATGGCAACACCGGCGAGCATCCGTACTAATGGGCTTCGTGTGAACCGGATGAATCGGCTTGTGGTCGACAAACGCTTGCAACATTGATGCTGGGGTGGAAACCCCAGGTGACTGGTTCCATCTCCCTGATCAACTATTCTACATACCTACAGTACCAGTGTGGAAGTTATATCAAGAAAACCCATTCAATGATTTGGTTCAACTGCAGAATAGCAGCTGCCCAAAACGAGCTAGAAAAACAAAAAAGGTAGCCCAACATAGTTGTCAAAGGTATATTGCTGCTCATTGCTACCCAACCAACCACGAAGGTTTCAGGTGTGACCAGACGGTATTTTGATTCAGTGGCTGAGGAATTCAGTGTTCTTGATTACTGGCAAGGTGGACACAGGACATTCATAAATTTATCTCCCATGGCGCAATAACGAAGAAACTGGAGGCTGGAGCTTGTCAATTCAGCTCTGATAAGATGATTATCATGATTCCTAATTTCCTGCAGGGGAGTTGCACATGTTCAACGTGATAATTGAGCCGTGTCTGATAGCCGTCTGCAAGCTGGGTCATGTTCATCAAGTCTGTGGATGCAGACCAACCAACAACGACCAGGATTGCTTGGGTACTGGGTGAACAAACCAGTGCTGCCTTAGGGCTTCAGCTTGTTCATTCAGCTTTTGGTACAAGTCCATCGGTTGCAAAGAGTATGCTGCAACAGATATCTTCACGGCCCTGCCCCCAGAATTGGCACATGTTTTTGTTTCCCAGGTTGCTGTCTGGCAAAGCCCAGGGACTTCAAATTAGGGCTGGCAACACCACCTTTGACTCTGAGCTCAAATATTGTTGAATACTGTCTTGAACTCTATCCCTTGCCTTTTCTTCCTCAATATATTCATGTGGATTAAGAGCAACTCCACCGCGGGGTGTAAAAGTCGCGTGATGCATCTCAAATTTTGATTTTGAAAGTGAAAACCTGGTGTGTCCTACACCGGTGGAAGGTAAACTGGGATGTAAACACGCATGTAACGTTTTGTGTGTGTGTGGAGAGGTGAATTGGGGGGAGGTGTTTGATTGATGGTCACAGGTTTCACGCAAAACAGTGACCGTTCACGGGATGTAGGGAGATGTAGAGGGGAGCCAGATTTGCACTCTCCGGGCCAATTTTTACATCCCAGATTGATTTGGCTCCCTGTTTTCATCCCGCGGTGGGGCATGGTTTTTGGAGACCGGGGTGTAAATGAGGTTTGCATCTGCGATATAGACCCCTCGGTGGAGTTGCTCTAAATCATTCATATAGATAGATTTGTCAGACAAATTGTAAAATATGTATGTTACTCTCATCTTGGGGAAATGTGTGTAAGTGGCTTCCATTCTTTTTCATTTTTGGATCCCCTAATCTATCGAGTTTCTGCTGTAGATTACTGGCTGGTTTGATATTTTTTGGCCCTGGAATTACCTCAAGATTAGTTTTCTCCGCTTAAGCTGATTCCTCTGCGGAAATACCCTCCAATTCAAGTTCCTGAATCTCCTCTGGCTCTGGCTCATTTCAAGCTGGTGTAAGTGGGATTGGCATGATTAAGACCAATGGTTTGAGAGATGCAGAATTTTTTTATTTCTTGATCAATTACTTGTATTTATCAAACATCAAATTAGCTTAGAAATCAATATCACCTTCAGTTTTCCAAAATCTTTAAATTTTGAATACCCATTCCTGGATGTCAAATTGGTCCTGTCAACCCAAAAAAAAAACTCAAAACTTGGTATTTTATGCAACACAAACTCAATACAATTCCAATATATAGTATGGGCAACAGTGCAACAGAGACAAGACAAGACACCAACTTAACTAAGTCCCTCCGGGCAATTGATCCGATGGCTTGCCGGAGGGACTTACGGGCTATGTGCCACCCGCGGGCCATGAGGATTAGGAATTTGGCTGGGCAATGTTTCAAAACCCATCTAGCCCACCCATTTTTGAACTTTTTTCGCGCTGGTTTGGATGGTTGTGATGGCCTGACGCTTGCGCATCCGCCCATCTCATCAGCAACTGTTTGTCCCCCAAGGTTGCGCTTAAAGATGACAATCGGAACCCGTTTGGAGGTACCCGGCACCTGTTTGCCTGGTACCGCCCAGACCCGCCTGGCACCCGCCAGGGGGTGCCAGGTGAGGTACCTGGTGTCCATTTCTGAGCAAAAACAAAGGCGGTACCAGGGTACCGCTAGAGGTACCCTCCTTACTGCGCAGTCACTAATGAGGGGGATGGCTGCTGCCTTCTACTCAAAAAATGGGATGATAAAGGAAGGGGTGTTGGCCAAGTGAAAAGATGGTATTCAGCCTGCTAAGAAGGGTAAATCAGATGGGAAAGGTAAAAGAAAGGTGATAGTATTAGAAGATTAGCTCAACAAGAGTGCCATTTGCACCGCGGCCACAGGTACTGCTGGTACCCGCCCAAAGTACTGCTGGTACCCTCCAGGGGGTGCCAGGTGAGGTACCTGGTGTCCATTTCTGAGAAAAACAAAGGTGGTACCAGGGTACCGCTAGAGGTACCCGGGTACTGATTGTCATCTTTAGTTGCGCTTCAAAGCAGCCATCCCGGATTTGAGCCATCCAGATTATGCGGTAACGGTCTGGCGGAAAGTCTGACATCTTCCACGCAGGGAGGCTGTAACCGCAGATACAGCCAGATACAGCCTCACTTGGCCCAGTTATTATGTCCAGCGGTGGGCCGCTACGCTACACTACGCTATGGGCCCATGTAGCGTTAGCGTAGCGGCGCCAATTTTTTTTTTTTTCATGTAGTGTTAGCGCGTCGCTACGGCCGCTGCGCTACGCTAATTTGTAGTGGCACTAACACTAGCCATTTTTTGGTGTAGTGTTAGCGCGCCGGTGGCGCCGCTACGCTGTGTTACGCTATGCTACAGCGTTTTTAGCGGCAAAAAACGCCAAAAACCCGCTAAAAATCGCTGTAACGCAGCGTAGCGGGCAGTTTTTGGCGGCCTGTGCGTGTAGCGTTAGTGCAGATGGGGGGAATTGCGTTAACGCTACGCTAAACGTTAGCCCACGTTTTCGCCCCATTCGCGTAGCGTTAGCGCAAAAAATGAAAAAAGCGCTAACGCTACGCTAAAGTGTAACGATTTTTTGCTACACTACACTACGCTAACGCTACGGTTAGCGTAGCTGGCCCACCGTTGTTATGTCTCAGCAGATGATATGACCGGCTGTATTTTATGCAGCTGCCGTTGTTTCTCAGATGTGGCGGCTCATACAGATTGAACATAAAAAACCAATTATCTGGAGCTTCCATGAAAGGCCAGCTGGGCAGACCGTCGGTCCCATCCCAACATCTGCGAGGACACTGTGAGAAACTCCCAGGTCAGCCCCTCATTTTGATGGGTGTCTTGCCCGGTGTGGGGCCCGGAAAAGGACTTGTAGAGAGCTTTGAAAAAAAAAAACTTTTTTGTAATCCTCATGTGCGAGGAGGGTGACTTAGCGCATAAGTCCCTCCTTCAGAGGGTCCCTGCGGGACGGTGTCCCCCCTCCGAATAAAGAGGGACTTAGTTAATTTGAACAAGACAGTATCAGGTGTTGATTTGTATTGTCTCAGAATTTGAATATCCAAAAATACTGTATTTGTGTTGTCTCACTTTCCTGAGACAATACACACATATTGTCTTTGGAAAGTGAGACAAGGATTCTGTATTGTCTCAGATGACTGATACCACCAAAAACGTCTCTGATACACAAGATATTTGGCCGTATTGAAGAAAAAAAAAAACAAAGACATTTTTTTTTCATTTGTAAATCTGAATCCAAGACAATGGATTTTCTCACCAACCAAGAAAATACTGATACCGGTATCAGGCTCAAAATAAATATGATACAATCCAATACCACTACATGTCTTGCATCTGTTGCACCGTTGGTATGGGGGAAGAAAAAAACTATATGTGCCCAATATAAATATTTGCATCACACCAGTTTGCCTGTTGCAGTCACCAAATTTTCAATTCTGACCACACTAATTTGGATCAATAGACCAAGGTCCTTGTTCCTGCTTCTAGAACCTTGATTTGCAAGTGGAAACTGTCAGCCCACACCTGAATTTTTCAAGTTTGGGTCTCATAATTTTCAGAGATTTGTGCAACTGTTTGCAGTTGGCATGTGATATTACAAAGGTGCCTTTGTAAAATTTGATGTCAACTGCAAACATTTACACAACTTTTTCTTGCAGTGAAATGTCTTTCTTAAATCAAATAATCAGAATCCCTGCTTAATTCAATTTTTTGGGCATATTGTTTGATTTCTTCTTTTGTGCTTAATGTCTATTATCCTCTTGAATTTTATTTCCATATTTTCTTGACAAACATATGGAAACTTTTTGACATACATAGAATTAATGTTTATATTTACTTTGGATTGACCAAGTGGAAGAATACTGAAATGAAATGATAGAAATCAAATATCAATTAGGCTCCATAATGAATGACAGGGGTTGCAAATGAGTCTCTAAATTAAATATTGAAAACTTGACAAGGTGGATTGAAATGAACAGATAACAATCAAGGTGTTATGGAAAATATTCTCAATCAAAGGTCTTGTACACTGTGCTAGGTTAAATTGAAATGTTTTTTTACAAGAAAAGTAAACGCAGCAAATTTTCTTGACATGAATTCTGTTTCTGTTGCCTTCACTTTTTCCCAAAATGCTGTCTTAGAATATGTGATGATGTTGATTCACATCAGGATGTTCTTCAGTATTTATCTGGGTGTTGCATGCAAAGTTAAGCTACGTATTCTAGAAAATTAACCAAGAATATTGACTTACTGCTAATAGTCAAATTCATTCACAACCTCCGACGTTTCTCGCAGAGTAGTGATTGGTGATGAAAACGCAACAACAACTGACACCTTAAATACAAATCAAATACACAAATCAATGTCAGGACCCTGGTAATATCTTTTATAAACAAGAAAAAAAGATACCAGGCCAAGTGGTATTCCAATGGTACAGAGCCAAGAAACATTGGCCATGGTAATGGCAAACCAATTCAAATCAGAAATCGTGTGTCGTGTCGGAATCTGGAGAACATTAGTGACTATCAGGCAGCAAAGTCTTATCAATACAGTATCATTCATGCTTTTCGTTCAAACAAATGGGAAAATGGGGAGGGGGTAAACTAAGACCTACAAATTATCATATCCAGTACCGCGATGACAACCATGATGGTTGAATTACCAATCACCTGCCATACTAAATTCACTTGGTATGTTTTGAGAGCTTTGCATTGAGATTGAATGACCATGTGGTTACTTATTTGCCAAGGCTGTTGATTCTTCAGGCCCGAATCATCAAAGCTGTTGCTAGAGACGGACTGCTCAAGGAAATTTTGATCATGACGCAATGATGGCAGCCACCTTGAGAAGGAGCCGAGTGCAGGCGGCGTTTTACGTTGTGTTTCTATGGTGTAGGCGCCGGAAGGCGTTTTGAAAGGAGCCGAAGCCGGGGTTGGTCGAAGCTCGGGTCTAGCTTCTGCCAATTGCAGGATACTTAATGTAAGTGGAATCTGTGGTTGAAGTACCTGGCGAAATGTACGAAGTTGATACCGAACAGCCTGGAGTACGAACAAGTGGCCGAATAACATCATAAGAAACAATGCCAGAATATATAACCAATAACCGAAGCTGATCAACCGAGACAGGATTAGAACTTTTTCACCGCGCTCTTGAATGGAGGCAATCCGGGCTGATGCCTCAATGTTCAGTTGATATATTGTCGCTGCTTCAAGGTTTCCGCTAATGATGGCCAAGAAAGAATTGTTGTGTTCATTGTATATCTGAGTGATTTCTGTTGTGTAGAGTGTTATTAAAAACACTTGGGGGCCTGCAAAAACGAATGGAAAGGCGTAAAAGAAGATCGAAAGAAGATTGATGATCCTTGGCTTGAAATAGGTCTTGGTCGAGTGGGCATTGACAAGTCCATATTTAGTTAGAGGAAGCGCTCGGAGGACATTCCAAACTATATAATGGGGTTTTGAATTGGGGACAGAGGGAAACAAAGCATTGGGTTAGTAAATAATTTTGAATTTAACGTGCGGTGAAACGACAGTACAACTTGCCTTTCGTCCAGCCTGCGCGACATCACAAAGATGAAGCAGTTAGATGTAGACCAGTCAAACACAACACTAGACAATCCTCAGATAAAGCTAAGGGTCATTTCTCACCTGTACAGAGCATGAACGGATAAGTGGACAGACTCAGTGCAATTGTGGTGGTCGAAAGGTATGACTTGTTGAAGTCTTTCTGGAAGAAATGAATTGTGGCCATACTGACTTTCAAAGATAAATTGTTTCAGTCCCTCACATCTTGGTCTTGACTCGAGGTGCTTATAAAAAACTCACAGGCAATGTAAAAAAGCAAGAATATCGGTATTAGTGTTCGAGTATTGGGGCGGATCATGCCGTTCTTTTCCGTTTTGAAGAACCAAAAACCTTCTTTTCGAATGGCTGGAATTGCACTTAAGGCCCAAAGAATTCCGGCAACAGGTTCGAGATAATATGTCGACATCAGAAGTATTGGTACGGACTGGGGAGGATCGAGTTCGATTGCTTGCACAAGTAACTGGTTTAGCGCTATGGACTGGAGCGTGTAGTTGGCCATTGGAGTGGTGATACTCGGATTCTTGGAGACCTCTCTTCTGTTTCCAAGTTTTTGTATTCCAATGACCGAGCAATCAACAGATTTTATAATGGCTCGGAATCGGGGGATGATAAAATCAAAAGATTGCTAAAGAACGACGCGCCGTGGACATTTGACTGAATTAAGAAAGCCTCATGTTGAGCACACACAATCACTCCCATCCTAAGACTCAACACTGTGTATGTTTATCATGAGGCAATGCCCACACCGAGCGGCGCAACAGACTATATACAAAAGGTGGGAAGTTAAAGATCAAGGAATTGAAGTTCAGACAGTAGCCTAGCAAGATTGACCATGGTGGAATATATCGAGCAGCTGAAAATTTGTCAAGGGTAGCACAGGCCAAGCAACTTCCCCTTGCTGGGCGGAATGGCTACCAATTGGTGTTACCGCAATACGTGCCGTAGGCCATGTGCTCGGCTTTACCCTTGACCTGAAGTGTGAATCAAATATGGCAGGTCTTCTAAAAGCCCAAAACTGGCCTAGTATCTCCTAAGATACCCACGAAGAAGAGACTACCTGAAGATTGTTACATACTAGCATCGGCGGTGAGGATCTCGCTCGTTCGTCAAAATTTAGCGCAAACACTAGACAAATTTTCGACCATCAGAAGGGATTGCGCACTGGGGCCGCAACATTCAGCTTAGCAAGACAGGAAACATCGCCCATCGTCTTTCTCCCTGTTGGTACTTTCCAGGTGCCGCTTGAGTCACGCAAAGTACTGCTATTCACGCTTTCTTCCAACGATGTCCATCCAGGAATTTTTTCTAATTCAAACAAGCACCTCATACTCCAATAAACTCGGATGAGAGTTTTGTCTCTTCTGGAGAGTTGGGATCACTGTGCCTGCCTTGAGATTATACATACCAGCTGAGCGCAGTTACATCAGGCTAAATCACTCTGTCCAATGCTAACCTGGGGAGCCCTGATGACTTCAAATTTGACGACAATGTAAAAATGAAAAGAGGAGAAGATAAATCGAGATAAGTCAAGAAAAAAAGTAAAGAATTCGAAGATTTCAAATAAAAAATTGGTTCCAAGGGAAACAAGAGGCATGGGTGCCAGAAAAGACCAAAGGCAAGAAGAAGTCATGTTTTGCCGCTTGCTCGCCGAATTATTATGTCGTTTTGTATACTAAAACAGATTTTTCTTGTCAGGAGGCCCTGCCTACACATATCAAGTATCTGGCTTTTGACCATAACGGCTAATGATTGGTACGGTCTATGAAATAAAGCTAAACACATCGAGCTGGCAATCGATTACAGATTTCAATCATCAAACTCTTCCACACGTTCCTCATTTTCTCTGAGAGCAGTGATTGGAGGTGAGAACGCAACAATACATGCTACCTATATTACCATCCAAGGAGGAGGTTCAATTGATGATCAGCAGGATTATCCTTTTGAACTTCATCACATGTCAGTCTTGAGCTAGCTTACAACACCAAAAGGTAGACCGACTGTTAAGATCCACGACCAACTCGCCCAAGTGATTGTAACCCAAATCAAATCAGAGAGAGAATAGCGCACGGGGACCTGCAACAGGTTACTGACTAAAGGTAACAAGAGGTTAGACTTCGCATGCTGAAAATCCAACTGATGTGAACGCAACACTCACAAACCGTAACATTTAGTCCCAAGAAAGAAAGTACTATCAGTGTGTTACAGGAAGCCTGCCAAATCAGATTTACTTTGTACCTTTTAAGGGCTTTGTACTGAGAATGAATCATTTCTTGGTTAAGGCTTTCCCACTTCTGTGAATCAAAGTGAGTATTCGGCGAAGCCGGATCTGGCTTTCCTAAGAATTCTGGATCCGGGCGTAAAGAAGGGAGCCAAGTGGGAAGGTGGGTAGTTATCCATATCAAGCTGGGGGAGCGCCTGGCCTGAGTTCGAATGGAACCCGAGCTAGTCGAATTGAAGCTGTTAGGAACTGGTGTCGATTCGAGTTTGTAGGAGCTCTGCAATGTTCCAACGGCGAATGCGAGAGGGGCTTGGTGTTCTGATGCTTTGCGAAAAGTATGTATTTGATATCCAACAGCCTTCAAGATCCGATAGTAGCCAAACGACATGACGGATAGTAAGAAAAGGCCGTTGAAAAAACAGCCAAAGCCGATTAACCGTGAAAGGAGAAGTGCTTTTTCACTCCTGTGAAGCATGGATATCAATTGTTGTATGGCTAGATAATTCAATCTTGCTATCGACTCATTGTCAATTTGTCCACTGATAATATCGGAATAGCCATGGTTGTATTCCATGAATGTCTGGGTGATTTTTGAAACCTCATTTGTGAGCATTCCTATGGTGACGCTGCCAAAAATAACAGGGAAACCGTATAGGAAAACTGAAAGAAGATTGATGGTTCTGGGTCTGAAGAACTTCAGGCTTGAATCACCATTTGTTTGCCTCATCGTCGCTAGTCCGTACTTCGTCAGTGGTATCGCTTGCAAGACATTCCATACTGAGAAAGGCACCGAGTATCAGTCAGATAGAGCTTTTTACTGTCGTGTACTATGAGGCTGTAAGTCACACTCACTTTTTGTCCAGCCTGCGTATGGTCGCGTGGAGGGCAAATGAAACGAATGGTTTAACTGGGCTATCTGCGCCTCGGGTGGAAGTCAAGGCGAACTCACCTGTGCAAAGCAGGATAGGATATGAGATCAAACTCAGGAAAACAGTTCTTGTTGATAAAATGGTCATCGAGTCCATGTCGATTAGGAGACATATTAATGAGGACAGACTGCCTTTTTTCCAATCAAAGAAGTGAAAGATTTTTAGATTCTCTACGGTTGCTCAATGTCTCATTTTTAATATAGACTGAGAAGATACTCACAGGTGATATATAGAAGCACAAAGATGGGAATGAGTGTGCTAGTATTTGGTCGGATCATACCGTTTGTCTCCATTTTATATAACCAGAAACCTTCTTTCCGAATTGATGGGATCGCACTGATGATATACAAGATTCCAGCGATGGGTTCCAGAAAAACTTCCAGCCAAACGAGTGTTGGCAGGAATGGGGGGATATTTAATTTTGCAGCCTTCCAAAACAATTGGTGTAGCGCCAAAGATTGGACCGTGTAAACGTTTTCGGGCTGGATGGACATACTCATCCTTCGAAACTATACTTGTTAAATTGAGGGATCAAGACTGCTTGATGGATTCTAAAAGTGAATGTTTGATCAAAGACCAGATTACCACACCTCCACGTATATTGAGCAACCGGACTCATGACGAGCGGTGATCCAGACAACATGAATTCACTTCAAATAGACGTTCACTCACGTTCCAGAACCTTCCGCAAGGCTTACTTGGCAGGGAATGATGGCCCAAGTGACTATGTAGACACGTATTGCCTTTGGTACTTGGTCAAATTTGGATGCCAATATCGTTGAGTGAAAGAGGGCCTGGAAGCTGTAGTGTATTACGGCTAGACGATCAGGTGACAGAATTGACAAAAGCGGAAGATCATAAGCTATCATGAGGGAAATTTGAAGACCACCGAAGCTTGGAGCTGATATAACCAGACGGCAACTATGTGGCACAATTCAGTCATTTAGGCCGTAGGTTTTTTAATCACCTGGCCTGTGGACACGCTGGGCTTATCGGCAGTGAAGATGTGCCTAGGAAATTCGCTTGAAATGAAATAAAAAGCAGCTGTATTGAGAATCATCTAGGCTATGAGCCAAAAGTACGGGATAACTTTTCCTCCTGATCATGCGCACGGCTCTTCCCAACACACAACCACATATTTAATCATGCATGACGGGCCCACTTCTTGAAAAAGCAAGGAACAGCCCGCCATAGTGGGAGATAGGCCGATAACTTTACCTCTCAGGGCTCAAGAGGTCGAGCTCATCGCAATGAAAAGGTTAAAATTAGGAAGATTGACTTTATTTGGGATGGATAATCCCTCTTATTCAAGAATCAATGTGTATTGAACCCACATGAGGTACAAACAAGACCTTTGCCCGGATATGTGCGGGGGACATGGAGGTTGTTGAAAATCGACAACTCATTGGCGGATCGATTGCCGCCGACTGAAGGCTGGAGGCGGATGCTGTTGTGCGTAATAGGTATTCATAGCTTATGGTGCTTCCGTCGTGCGGAAATGCTTGACGGTATTGAGCTGCTCAACTTTTTTCAAGTCAGTCGATTGACACCAGGCTGTGTGTGACAGCGGGCGATTCGATCAAAGTTGGGTCGTCCCGGTCTACATTTTCACTGTTGCAGCAGTCATCAACACGCCCCCATGACCGGCAACGGCGTCATTGTGACCACGAGCCACACCGGCCCAAGTACTTCCATACGACGGTCTAAAATAGTCCCCCAAAGATGGGCTCTTCTCAGCCACTGAAGGGCCAAAGTTGGGTCCCCAGGGAAAAGCCAGCTCACATCCATCTCCTACTGCACAATAATCGGTCATTTGGATGTGGGAATCTCTGCAGCTTTGTGCGGGATGGTTTTGATTGATAATTGTTGTCAAACTTGGAAAATTGTGCTCCAGGGGTATATGTAGTTCACCAAAACTTCCTCATTGGCACCCTACCAATACGGATGGCACTTCACACCCGGGGCAACCCAACAGATCTTTCCAATGAGTCCTATCACATAGGACTTCAAATAGAACCCGCGATGGTTGTGGTTTTTTGGTGCTTGGGTGCTAATTGGGTTCTATTGCAACAGAGGTACAATTTTGCTTGACCGTGATCATACAAGCTCATGAGAAAGCTGGTGGGCAGAACGAAGATTATGAATCGAACCTATATCATAAGAAAGGTTTACATATTGTGGAGTGATCGAATAATTTGAACACGAATCAAAGGGAAACAAGAAGAGAATATTGAGAAAAAATGGGCATGTTATTATTAAAGAAACCAAGACTAATGAATGAAAAAAAAGAAAACAAACCAACGCCACTGCTCCCTATATTCAGAAAAGCTTGTAAAAGTTGATCCTAGGTGGAGTTGAAAAATGTGTAGAGGAGTTTTTCTACCTTTTTCGCTGGCCCATTTGTGGATATAACTACTGCGCCGGGATCATAATCTTAATGCCAATTTGTTGGCCGGTAGGTTTGCCCTATCACCATTCTTCTTCTCCGGAGCGTTCCGCGCTTTCTCGTAGAGCTGTGACTGGGGGAGATCGAGAAACGATAAAAAGTGCCTAAAACGACAAATATAAATACAAAATACGTCTTAATCTCGGAAACTTGAAGCTATTTGAGAAAACTGAATCATCCTATTTGCTAACCAAGCCCATCGGTATTCCAATCGTCCATACCCAAGAAACGCTCGCCCAAGTGATGGTAAACCATACTAAGTCCGAAGCTGAATGATGAGTAGGTACCCGTAACAGGTTGAAGCCTAAAATAAACAAATCAAGCCATCAGCCATACCGCCGCTTCCCAACCCGAAGGAAACACGCACAAACTGTGATATTCATGCCCGAGAAAGCAAACATTGCCAATGCATTACAACACGCCTGCCATATCAGATTTACTTCATGTCGTCTTAGAGCCCTCAACTGAAACCCGAGTAATGCTCGATTGGCACTTTCCCATTCGTGCAAACCAAGCTGACGGGAATCTGTCGGACTGGGAACTCGGCGGGGCTTTTCAATGAAATCTGGGGTTTGGCGCAAATTGGGAAGCCAACTGGGAAGCCTCGTCGAGATCCATCTGTTTTTTTTCTGTCGTGTGGAGTCACAGGGGGACGCATCGTAGCTGTGAGACATAGACATCGATCGGATACTCGAAGCGGGCTCTATCGCCTCATTACCGATGGCAAATGGAATGCGTTGTTCATACGACTGCCGAAGGATTTCAATTTGATATTTAACCGCCTGCAAGATGCGGATGTAGCCAAACCACATCATAAAAAATGATATGATAACATAAGAGAGGAATCCGAAAGCGATCAAACGGGAAAGGAATACGACTTCGTTGCTTCTTTGAAGCATGTAGGTCGTCTGGTCTACAGCTTCGAGGTTCAATCTGAGTATCGAATTGCTGTCGATCTCGCCACTGATGATGGCTAAGTAGTTGCGATTGTATTTATCGAACGTTGAGTTAATTTCCCACAAATGTTTTATTACCAGACAGATGGGAGCGCCGCCGTAAATCAGAGGAAACCCGTAAAAAACAGCCGAAAGAAGATTGATGGTCTTGGGCCTGAAGTACGTCGCATTAAAGTCTCCATTTGCTTGTCTCGCTGTTGTCAGTCCATACTTTGTGAGTGGGACAGCTCGAAGGACATTCCATACTTGAGCGAATAATTAGTGATACAAGGATTCAGTATGACAAATTTGAGCTCAGTGGCTCTATGTAGCTACCTGGCTAGGATGAAGTTACAGTGCTTACTCTTTGTCCATCCTATACACCATCACGGTGGCAGAGTGAATTCCAGTCAACACATAATCTCTAGAATTGATGGTGATAGCGTTTTCTCACCCATAAAGAGTAAAATGGGGTATGTCATCAAGCCCAGGCCACAAGTGGCTGTCGAAACCAGAGCATTTGATTTCAAATCATTCAGAAGTAAAAATAATGTTGATGTATCGCCTTTCCGATTAGAAACATGTCAGCCGCTTCATGTTCGCTCATTCTGACCTTTATCTGGGTACAACATACTTACAAATAACGTAAAGAACCACGCAAATGGGTATTATTATGCGAATGTTTGGTCTGACCATTCCGTTTGCTTCCGCTTTAAAAAGCCAAAAACCTTCTTTTCTGATTACTGGCACGGCGCTTGCGATATATAATATCGCCGCAACATATTCAAGGCTAAGTGTGATCCGAAGCACGGTCGGAAGGAATTTCGGGGGATTGATATTCCTTGCTTTCAAGACTAAATCGTGCAACACGATGGACTGTCTTAAGTAGGAAGGACCCGGATCAGTGGCCGTACTCATTTTTGTGGATATTTTCTATGTTACTGCTCTCCAAGTGAAACAGTGCGAGAATACCGATAAAAAGCGATCGAATTTGGATACGTGTCACGCTTCAACGTCGGACCAGATTAGTCCTGCTTGATACTGGGAATGAGAGCGAAAGCGCCAAATCGTTTATGTGTTTCGGCTGGGTTCGAAAGAAAATTCGTGAGCATGACATCAAATCAACCGTTCAAAGTTCATCGTGAGCAAATCAAGATAATATATTGGAATGGCGGTGATCCTTGTCATTTCAGAGTGCGTGGTGCGGTGCTTACCCCTCCGGTAGTAATAGAGAAAGTTCTCTCAGATTATGAAATTAAAGATGAAGCAAAACAGAAAACAAAAACTCACTTTGACAATGAGGAATGGATGAAGTGAGGCAATTAAAGAGAGTAGTGACTGCAAGATTATCTGCACCGCTTGGTATTCGCACCGAATGAGTGTAATGGATTATCAGACTGAGGACGGTTTACTACGGATTCTGGCTCGGCAGGCTTTCCATGCGTTGAAACCCCCAAACCTCACACTACATAAGCTCGTTGAAGGCGACTGAAGACAAGTGATCTCAAAAGAACCCCATGCCAATACGAGTCAAGATTTCTCGCACGCTGCCCGTGCGCGACGAGTCTCGCTAGCGTTGATTCTGGCCCAGACGTACCAAATACGAGTCCAATGACCCAAAATTGAGTGTACGGAAACTGCCTAGTGTGTGTTTAAGTTCTTTGAAAGTGATGGATGGTCATCGGTAATATACGAGGTGCACGGCTTTATCAAAGAGGGTAGTTGAACCTAATCATTCCCAGAACCACCTTAATTTTACACCGGACTCACATCCATTGAAGCATCCATGCAATCGCGTCAGGTTTGGCTTCAAAAGCTCAGAGAAGCGACTCGAAGAATACACCCATGGTACTTCACTGGCGCGGGATGCCTGGTGTATCGGTTGTTTGAGGGAAAGAGAATACTCAAAGGACTGGCTCATCAAGGCCAAAGCTATGTAGATCAGAACCAAACCCTGTCCATCTCGCCAGCGCATTTGGGCCTATCAAACCAGTAATCAAACCGATTACATCCGCGTAATTAAAGACTACTTTCGAGCCCCACGGAGTTGGGGGGACTATAATAATGAGGGCGTCTTCTATAATCTTGGGGCAGAATGTCTCCCATTGGCGAGAATGGTGTGATGATCAGAATGCGATACACTGTTGAAGGAGAATATATACTGATGAGGTTTTGTTCGGAAAAAAGAAATGGCTAGAAAAGAAAAGACAAACTTTACAAGTACCACGTCACCCAGAGAGGCCAACAAAGGGCCCCAGGATATAGAATCGAACTGAATGCTAAGCCCCTCCTAGGCCGGAAGCAAATGGCTGGTAGGGGGGCGCTTCGCCTCCAGGAAAGCACAAGTTCGGATATCATCAATGGTTGAACTCCGTGAATTGGTTTTCATGCACCCGACTCTATAAGCTTAACAAAGCCTATTGAACGGCCAGTCCCGAAGAAAGGGACCCGGTGCCCTGGGCTCGCAGGAAGCCCTCCTGGCGGGCGGAGGGCGAACGCAAGCTGTGGATCCTCCAGCCAGAGGAGAATCGTGACCATGGTCTGAACCATACAAGCACAACCCGAAATTAACAAGGGGAGGTAGAAATGGACTAGGACATTTCGCCAAAGAAACTGCCGGAAAATGGCGCGCCAAGATAGGCTGGATTGGTGGCTTTTCTTGCCAGATTGTTGGAATTTTGTCTCTTTTCTTCTCATCCCTAAAAAACTCATCTATCTCACCTTTAAATTAACAAATGATTAGATAAATAATACATGTGATCATTACATTGTTTTGTTGGTTTTTTCTGTGGTATCTTGTCATGTTGTCTAGTGCTGAAATCCTTGTAGTTTTTGAACCCTGGTCTAGTCTTTATCAACTGTCATTTACTCCATCTATCTTTTCAAGCATACAGTTGCGGACGGCAAAAACCGACCCTGGATTTTCAGGATGTCCGAATAGTCGGGCCAAAAATTTCAGATTTTTTTTGAAATTTTCAGCCTTTTGAGCTGTTTGTAGCCTCCAGAGTGTAGAAAAAATACACTAGAATAGTAGATTAACGGTGAAAGTAGATGGTGAGGGTGTACAAGTAGTATAAAACCATATTTATGTATCACTTAAAGCCATAACTATGGGTTTAAGTATGGCTTAATCTGTGCATGTCCGATTATATGTATGTGGAAATGAAAAAAAAAATGAACCACTCACTCAAAACCTTAGTGATTACAATTTTGAACTCTACACATCTGTAGAAGTTCAAAAATGTAATAAAATTAAGTATCAGGGCACATGCCCCCCGGGGCATAGGCCCCGCGTGTCCAATTTGGATTTTGCGGGCGGGGCATGGTCGGTCTATGCCGTACGCAACTGTACATTGATTTTTGTTATTCATTGTGATATTCAATTTTTCCACCACAGATGGAACTTGTTGTCAGTTGTATGTAGTCTATTTAACACATAGGCTCTACTAGTAAATAAAAATCATTGGCTCTCTCTCTCTTTTTTTCAACCCTTGAGCCACTCCAACAAAACCTGTTTTGTGTTGCCCAAAAATTCTTTTCTGAAAAAATTCTCCCTGTCTTTGGTCAAAATTTCTTCACAGATCAGCTTAGTGTGAGATGGCCCCGGCGCATCCGGATATCTGGCTGCTTTTTCCAGGGAAACGGCCATCCGCATCCACATCCGCTGGCAGGTATCTGTTGGCCACAGCAGGTATCCACGGATACCCGCCCTTTTAATGGTCAATGATTGCTGGCTGGAAGGATAACATGCCAGCTTGCTGGGAGGGGTTCCTCCTGGCAAGCTGGTTTTTAAACCAGCTCTTTGGAAGGACTCCCTTCTGACAAGCTGGTCTGTGTACCAGCTTGTAAGGAGGGGTTCCTCTCAACAAGAGGGTATGTAAGCTTGTTGGGAGGAATCCCTCCCGACAAGCTGGGATTGCGTACCAGCTCAACGGGAGGGATTCCTCCTGACAAGCTGGGATAAATACCAGCTTGTCAGAAGGGATCCCTTCCAACAAG